TTTTTTTGGCGTACGCCATTTCCGCCTTTTGGCCGTACGTTCACTTTTAGTATGGTTTCCACGCAATCTTTTATAAATGAGACCCCTGGTCTTCGAGAGAAACTATCCTGCATGTTTTTCCTATTTCTCTGCTCACACACCTGATTCAGTGATTGAATTACCTCTTCAAGTTCTGCAAAAGCCTGTTCGTCACCCGCTCATTTAAATCAGGTGTGTTGGAGCAGAAAATCTTCTAAAGCATGCAGGATAGTGGTCCCTTGAGGACCAGGGTTGGACATCACTGGTGTAAACAAAGAAACTATACCATTAAAAAACAACTTGCAGGGATTGCAGGGTATTTAATTGACTAAAATGGCAAAAAGTTGCACTGTAAACAGTATTATAAGTGCATCTTATTGTTTAGGTTCTAACCAAAAACACCCATTTTTTTATTTCCACTCATTTTCGACAGACACAGAGCTATGATGTGAATTATTATAGAGCCAAGGTCAATGAACAAAGCTGCAGTCATCTGAAAAATGGAGTTGTTGAGCTTCTTTACTTGGAACAATTTTCCTCAACAGCAATACAAACAGATTTAGAAATAGAAAAATAAAGATCTTAAGAGATATTTGTATTTTTACTAAATCAAAGTGAGTCTCTGCTTTATTTCAAATAGATCACCACTAAGATATCTAAATGTTGGTAGGAATGCATTGCAGGGATTACACAGATTCCTCTTCAACTTGTAAAGTGGACATACAGTATTGAATCTACTTTGGAGAAATTACAGTTTATTTTGTGGCTAAGAGCTAACCAAAGACAAGCAAAACTAAAGAGAACTACTGCTGACAACAGCTCTAATTTTGAAAAATATCCTAACATCTCATGTCAATGCTATTTTGCAAGCTTTTACACTACTGTCAATTTGTTAAATGTTTATTCTGATAGAAATGTTCTACTCCTGCTAAATGTGCAAGCCAATGCAGCTGCTAGCTGCTTCAACAAACTGCGCTCTCAAATAGCCAATAGCTTTGTGTGTAATGCAAACATGATAAAGATGTAAGAGTTCATGCAACAGCTTTTGGATTAACCGCCATAACATTTTTGAGAATAGAGTTTAAAGAGTTGATTACACAACTTTTTCTTTCTATTTCTATGAATAATCCATGCCTACGAATGGAAAACGTTTAAGATGCCAGTAAGATGGAAACTGCTTAAAAATTAGTAGTAATTTTGTTTGGATTGCTTGTTTTATTTTTATAAAATGATGTAATGTTTTTATGTATCAAATTATTTAAAAATTTTAATTTTATTTCATTAAATGACTTGTACACTAATATCTAACTGTAATTCAACTATTCGTTTTATTTATTTATTTATTTGCTACCAACAGCCTAAAATCCATACGTCTAAGAAGCCCATAGCCTGTTGCATGAAGTGATTTAAGCACCTTAAAACAAATATCACAAAGATTAATTTATTGTTTAAAACAGACAGGACAGGTCTTATTGGCTGCACCCCTGCGAGGTTTACCTGTCCAAAGATGAGTGGTTGGACTCGAGGACACTTGGACTGCGTCACACACCCAGCAGCCGCCAACGAGGAGGTCAGGTGACTCAGAGGGTTATAATAAAAGCTCAACTCTTCAGTCAGTGCTGTTGAGCTTCATTATTTGCTCAACATGCTGGTCTTTGTTTCTGAAGTTGTAACTTTTGTAGCCAAGAGACTTTATTTGGAAAGACTCCATTCTCATGGTTTGAGGCAGCAGTTCTATTTATTTATTTATTTATTTATTTATTTATTTGTTTACTTATTTACTTATTTGTTTATTTATTCCTTTGTTAGTGTTGATTGTATATTTAGTTTTCTTTTGGACTTTTTCATTTTTAGACTTTAATTATTCTGTTGTCTCATCGCAAGAGAAGCTTTTACAGTTTTAAGTCCATTTTTGAGGAATATCACCTTTGTTGTGTTTTGTTTAGTGCCTCAGGCCTGGATATAACAACTGATGATATTTGTGTTTAGTCAGCCACTACTTGTGCAAGTTCTCCTACTTAAAAAGATGGGAGAGTTAGACCTCAACTATGAGAGACAAAATGAGAAAACATATCTAGAAAATCACATTGTCTGATTTTTTTAAAGAATTTATTTGCAAATTATGGTGGAAAATAAGTATTTGGTCAATAACAAACAAGCAAGATTTCTGTCTCTCACAGATCTGTAGCATCTTCTATAAGAGGCTCCTCTGTCCTCCACTAATTACCTGTAGTAAGGGCACCTGTTTGAACTTATCAGTATAAAAGACACCTGTTCACAACCTCACACTCCAAACTCCACTCTGGTGAAGACCAAAGAGCTGTGCAAGGACACCAGAAACAAAACTGTAGACCTGCACCAGGCTGGAAAGACTGAATATACAACAGGAAAGCAGCTTGATGTGAAGAAATCAACTGTGGGAGCAAAAATTAGAAAATAAAAGACCTACAAGACCACTGATAATCTCACCAGTGTGATTTTCTACATATGTTTTCTCATTTTTGTATGTCATAGCTGAGATCTAATGATGATGTAGGCCTCTCTCATCTTTTTAGGTAGGAGAACATGAACAATTGGTGGCTGACTAAATTATTTTTTCCCACTGTATTTTACAGAGTAATTCATTCTCGAGAGGAAACCAAGGTCTTATCACATGAAAAAAATTAATTTCTAAATGCATTATTTACCTGTGGTGTGGTTTTTGAAGGCTAGACTCTCAAAGGAAGGGATGCCGGGGGTCTTTGAGATGATCTGTGTGTAATCAGATATGGCTCGAGTCACCGGATCACGGACGACTACGATCAGCTTCACATCTCGAGACATGGCGTGGATCCGTGGCGGCGTGTCCACTGTGACAAAGTAACGAGGTGTTTTCTCCATGACTATCTGGCCATCCAGGGCTTTGGGCATCATGGTTCTGGAAGTAGAAAGAGACAGGAAGTTGATGTATACGTGTCATGAATGAATCAGGCTCATAGAACTGAAGTCACTGTTTTAAAACTGTAAATGGCACCAGTCTTGAAGATTTATTAGTGGTTCCTGGAAACAAAATCTTACAGACCTTCACACCTGCCAGCTGTCTTTAATTTGATTTTTACTGTATAACTGTGTGGGTTTTACAAACACACGAAACACCAGCAGCAGTGAGCTGTAGCACTTCCACTTCTTGCAAAACTGACAGTAATGCAAAGGTTTAAATAATAAATTTTGCATGAACTGCTATGAACTTTTATAGACTGAAATTGTTTGAAGGTGTTTATTATTAGCTTGTCAATACAATTTGACAATTTGGGCAAACACTAAATGAACCAGGGAAAACCCACTTAGTTATTCTGTTAATTTAATATTCACCAAAGAAAAACTCATAAGCTCAGAAATGCTTACCTCCCCAGCCTGATAGTGGAAAGTGACCACAGGACATAAAAAGACTGATGCACAAGAAACCTTTCACTATCTAGGGTCAAAGCTGCATATACATCATCTAAAACACAATCCCCACAGGGAAGCATGGTGATAGCAGCATCATAATAGGCATGATTTTATCAGCAAAGAATGGAGCAAAACACAAAGAAATTCTTGACGTTTAAAGTCTTACAGAAATTTGAAACTGGGACGAGGCTCACTTCTCAACAAGACAATAATGGCCCTAAACATACTGTTGAAACAAAACTCCTGGCAAATGTTCTGGAACGATCCGATCTAAACCCAGATCTCACTGCAACTGGTTTCATTTGAAACATGTTGAACTCAAGAAGCATCCACCCAACTTGAAGGAGTTGGAGCAGTTTTTTCTTGAAAAACGGACAAAAAAAATCCTGTCTGGATGTTCCAAGCTAATGGAGATGTACCTGCTGCAACTGTTGCAA